AACCTTTATGGGAGCCTTTTGTGGTGTTTGGGGTGAGGATGACCAAATCCCCTGGGCTGTGGAGCTGCTGACTCCGCCAAAGTCCTTCTCATACTTTGGGTTGTGTGGACATCTAGAGGCCTTGCCAGGAATGACACGGGGGTGATTTTGCTCCATCCACCCATGCAGGCTTGTTGGTTGGATTGCAGAGAGGATGGACTACTGACATTGGCGTATTCGGCCTCGGAACAAATATTCAGCCCGCCCAGTCCTAGGTACAAACTTTAAGAAGAGGCAAGCGAAGCTGCCTTTAAATTTGGCTGCTATGAGCCAATTTCTCGTGTTTTGAGCGTGCTGCTTGTGTATTTGTAAAGGTGAGAACGAGCGTTAATCTTTGTGTATTTACAAGAAGAAGGAATGGCTGTAAGAGGCTGAGAACCGTGGCATTTGCCGCCTCATGAGGACAAGGGGAGGTTGTACCACCAGAGATCTGGCTTGCTGTGCATCTGCTGCCCAACTGCAGCTTCTTTCTTTTTTTCTGTGATTTGAGGTTATTTTTCATGCCAGGTGAGGAGGAACGTGAGGAAGCATTCCACACTGAGACGTGCCCGTTTCAGCCGCTGTCCCTGTTCCCATTCCCTGCCAGTGACGATGCTCAAGGCATTGGCCGTTGTGAACGTGAGGAAGACGAATCTAACCCTGAACTTTGTGGAGGCAGTTCTCGCCTTGGCCTTAACATCTTGCTAACAAAACATGCAGGGATTTGGCAGGAAACACGCTGAGGAAAGCTGCACTTTCGGGTGGCTTTTAAACCAGTGCTGCCATTTTGAAGTCCTGCTTCTGATTTGGATGGCTCTGGTTTGCGGGTTGGAGGCTTGGCAGCTCCAGCTTACACAGCTGTGTGCCCTCGCTGCCGCACCGGGAGCTGGCAAACGTGGCCACCTCTGATGAGCAGGCTGGTTTATGACACGTGGAAGCAGCTTCTCATGAAGATTCAGGTTTGGCTGTTACACCTCATGCCCCGAGGCCTTGGCATCTCTCTACTAGAAATCGGAGTGAGACGGGATGTAAGAAGAGCAGATTGTCCCAGACTTCCCACGCCTTCCTGCGAGACCCACTGCCGGCGGCTGCTGACAACCGCCTACTAGGGCAGGCAAACCCCAGGTCTGATCCAGACTGGGAATTCCCTTGCTCCAACCGCCCTGGTTGGGCATCTGGATGCAGAATGGCCCAAACTGGGCTCGCTTTTGAAAATGCTGGCTGGTGTTGCCAGTGTCTTTTTTAGCAGGTGATAGATGTTAGGAAACTGAAGGGCTCGATCCAACGTCTGCTGACGTCAATGGAAATACTCTCGTTGACATCACTGAGGCTTGGATCCACGCCTACGTTCCACTTCTTTATTTCAGACTGCAATCTGTCAGGGGTTGAAAGGTCTCTCTTCTACTTACAGACTTTAGCACGTCTTTGAAAGGTCTTGCTTCCTCGGCAATCATTACGTTGAGGATGCGGAGTACAGAACAATTTGGAGAACAGGCGCCAACCCATTCAACGCTGTGCACGTTCCTTCCACGTTGCTGGGCCCTAGCCAGGCTGCAGCTCAGGTTTAAGCATCTGCGTCGCATGTAAGGGAGGTGGTGGCCTTGGCTGTGACGTGCTGCGACTCCCCAATACCTGCTCCAACCAGAATCAGAGCTTCAGGCTTCCACGAGCTGCTCAGGGCGGTCCAGCTCAACTTTTCCAGAGAGCTCTGGCCAAAGTCTTCTTTTCAAGGAACGTCTGGACAACGCTCTTAGTCATACGGTTTAGGTAGCCCTGCGAGGAGCAGGGGTTGGACTCGATGGTCCTTCTGGGTCCCTTCCACCTTGAGGTACTCTATGATTCTCATGGGCTTTGGGGTTTGTCAGGTGGATGATGTCTGAGGGGTCTTGAATCCACCTTTCATGGGCAGACCCAGGAAAATCTGCTTTTCTTTTCCATGGGAGCAAAGCCCTTGCTGCCCAATTCATTGCCTCCTTCCTGGGTGGGAAGTTAGTGAGCAGGTTGGGAAGAGTGAGTCTGAAAGCAAAGCTCTGGGTTAGCACTCGCCACACTCCGCGGTGGGGACAGAGCTAGTGTGACACTACGAGACACATGGCTAGCCAGCGCCGCTTCCCTGCCATGCCCACATGCCCAGGGCTCGCGCAGGATCGCCTCCAGCACCTTCACATTGCTGGTGGGTCCTGGGGACTCTTCTGTCCCCATTTTATGACTGTGGAGGTACCAAGAGGCTGGATTCGGGGCACGAGTGCGGCCCCACTCACCTGCAAGAGTCATCAGCCGGCGAGATCCTCATCTCTCCGTTAGGAAAGCCCCCCTTTCCCCATGGCATACTTGTTGATTGGCTCCATTGGCCAAAATCTAAGGATAATTATATTCTGCATCGTAAAATCCGTCCCTGCAGCGTGTCCATGACGCTGTTTCCGGCAGTTGCAGAGCATCGCTGTGTACTGTTAAAGAGCTGCTGTTTTGCACCCTGGAAGTGGCTACCTTTTACTACTGAATCAAGTCAATCCCGTTTCTATAAGGAGCTCCGGCACTATCAACCCTGCAGCCTCTCCAGGGCTCCTGAGGATTTTATCCCTACGGGGAATGTTGCTCCCACGGGGACCTGCGGTCTCCTGCAAAGTGGCGGAGCACAGCAGCAGGGCAGGCTGGCTTCCTCTCCCCATTCAGCGCGTGTATATATAGACCACAGAATGCTCCAGAGTAAAAGAAGCAGTGGGTGGAAGGCGAGATATTATTATCTTCACCTGCTGCTGCCGACCAAAGAAATAAAGAGACAGATGACAGGAAATGAGGACTTCAAAAATAGACACCTTTAATGTCAAAACCTTCAGGGATTAGTGAGAGCACCATACAAGAAACAGAGAAACTCTCACGCTAGTCCCCATGGGCTTTAAGTGCATGTCAGAAGAGGAAATATACTGAGATATCTAAGAAGCATTTCTGTATTTACTCTTTCTGCCCTCAGTGGAGGAACCAGAGGAAAAAAAAAATTACCAAAGAAACTGCAGATACACTGAAACATGAATTGTAAAACCTCCCTTTACAGCTCGACAGATCCTCCGTACCTGGATGATCTGCAGTTCTCTTTCCCCGAGCTGTGTGCCCAAATCCTGCCTGCGTCTGCCAGCTTAATTCTTTGCCCCCACAAGGCTAGGGCTTTGGAAGGCTCTTCTTAGGGCTGCACGGGACAGGAATGGCAAAGGTTTAATGTGAGCCCTCTTTACTAAAAAAAAAAAAAAAAAAAAGTTTTTGCATACAGAAAATATTTCTTATGATATACTCTATCTGCTTTACTTAAAACCTCTTAAATATATTAAACATCTAATTTGGCCTCACCTCTATATTTATGTACATCTGCTAGTAGTTCCCCTGCCCGTCAATACGGCCGTATGTCTTTCTGCCAGCTCCGTGTTGTCATTATTAATTCTCTTTTGCAAGTCAAACCTGCAGTCTGGGTTGGATTTGAACAGGGTTGTGACAGCGACAGTGAAAGTTGGGCCCAAGGGAGAGGAATACCAAGGGGTATTTTTCCTCACTGAAACTCAACGCTGGTCCAAAGTCCAGAACTGCCTATATTGAGTCCTAGACAGGTGCCAAGACAACAAGGAAAAATAGCAACGGTAGCCTGCAATGCCAGAGACCTGACGCTCTGCAGCTCCCGACGCTGGAAACTAGCACATTACTAATCCAGAGAGAGGAGAGTACAGTACGAAATGGTTGATTTCTAGCTCAAAAATCTCAAACCTTGGTCACAACACTCTGATAACCAACTTACTGCCTTGCTTCACTCTCGCATGGTAGCAGCTGGGTCGAGGGGCCCCAAATCCACCAAACAACATTTTTTGACTGCTAAAAATTGGGATCTGGGCTTTGAGCCCGTTATTTCTGAATCTGGGTTTCTGAATTTCTGGTTCTGGGTAAAAGTCTGATGTAGTAACACTGGAAGAAAGGTGTAAAGCAAGTTTATGGAAAGGCTTTGAGGGGCAGAGAGGTTTTCTATACGTGCCTTCACCCTGTGTTTTTCTTTCTTTTTGATACGGCTGCTACGTCCTCATCTTTAGAAAAAAGAAATGTGTCAGAATCCAACCGAAAAAATTGTGATCTACCTTCGGGAGAGGAACTGGGTTCGATCAGTGCCGTACGTGCAAGAACAGTGGATGCACACCAGTGTCTCACTGTCTTTCATCTCCAGCACTCCCCTCCCCAAAGGTCTCCGATTCCTTATTGCCGCAGAGATACGTGATCCTAGCGAAGGCATCCCTCTTGATCTGCACGGCATGGGTCTTGAGTCAGCAGCTCTCTCAGGTTACCCCATGGACTGGCTGGATGCGTCCTGTTGTGCTGTATGCAACGCCAGCGAGAGTTAAAAGTGCAACAAAACAGCCCGAAGACCTGAGGCGAGGAGGAGGAGGAAGAAGGAAGAAGAGACGCGCGGGCAGCCTCCCCCAGCCTGGAAGATGTGCAGTTTCTCAGCGTTGGGGAGGAAGACCCTGGCATCCTCCAGGGCTCCGTGAGCCGCCATGGTGAAGTTGGCGTCCCCCGAGGTCACCACGTCGAAGACACACGACTGGAAGTAGACGTCCTCCACGGGCAGCATCTCCTTGCAGAGCGCC